CCTGAAATCCTTTCCATAGATGGACCAACATAAGATTTCTTCTTGGTTAGCTCTATTTGCACCATCCTCAGCATCAATAGCTTTATCATATAACTGAGCGAGACGTTTCGTACATGGTAATGTGTGATAATAAAAACTTTTGCTTAATAATTTTCCGGGACCTAATTCCAATTGTTCGGTCTCGGAAATTTCAGTCACATGGTTTTGAATTATATTTGATTCTTGTAGAGACGGCTCTGGAGTAAATAACAAATTCGATGAAAATTCATTGAAGGTGGCTCGTAATTAATCTTTGATAAGAGAGCTTGATCCTCTATCAGAATAGAATGGTAAAATGAGATATAGAATATGAATCTATTTGCTATAAATTAAGCAAACTTTTTATATACCATTAAACTCGGTTCTTGTACCATCAGGTGTAATAAGCGTTTGCACTTGTTCGATACCAAAATTACGTTGAGCATTCACATTTCTTTGTAGAACCCGGCCTTTTTATTAGCGCTCTTCATATATTTGTGAGACTATACTGCGACGTAATAACTCTTCACCGACTAGCCTCTCCCGATCTGTTAAAAATTTACGATATTTTCTAGGGTCTTCTTTTCTTTCTATTCCACCACGATAGAAACGTATATCTCTTTCCAAATCCCCACGAAAACATCCCGTGGTCCACCTATTTTTCTCAGCCCCTGTAATAATCGAAAATTCTTTGGGATTTATTCCATGTTCGATGGCATACTGATAAAGGTGATTTTTGTTTGGCGCCATTACCTGAGTTTCCAACGAGCTGTCTTGTATGATACGATTATCAGCATTTTCGCTTTGTGGGGATTCAGAAGTTTCAGACTTTATCCAAGGATCCAGTCCAGTCTCTTCCGTGTATGCTCTATATAATCTAGAACGAATTTTTTCTGTCTGAAAACTTGGTAAATCAACTAAATTAGCATGCCATTTGCAATAGTCATCAGTTAATATCTTGCTGGAGGTAGTATCAGAAGACATGTTATCGTTTTATATTAATGCAAGTCAATTCAAAATCACGTAGCTGTCAAGAGCGAAGCGCGAAGTAAAAAATATCACTATCCAAGTTTATGTAATTATTTACTTATGCTGTGATCTCAATTTCATTCCCCCCACATTTAATAAAATAGGATTCAGCTTCATATCTACCTCTTATACTCTTCTCATCCTTATGACTCGACTTGCATGCTGGACATAACGACTTATCAATAAGTCCATAATAATCGAATTTTTCGCTACTAAATTCTCTATATATATCAGGATACTGGCCTAATATTTTATTACGAAAATAAGCACGGGTATGGGTTGGATTAAATGATGCGTTTACCTTTATTTCTGGATTGTTTTCTTGAGATAGCTTCGAACCAGATGAATCGGAAACGTGAGATTCAGTAGATATACTTAACTTGGTCTTGGTATCTGGTAAAGATTTAACTTCCTCAACCATTTTATCTTCTGAATTGCCGGAGGAAGTCGCAGAATGGCTAGAGATCTGGGATGATAGGATAGAGGGAATGGATGTAACACTTACCTCAGTTTCTGGTAAAGTTTGTTCAGTCACGTGTGCGTTCCAATTTGGAACGGAGATTACTTTTCGATTTTCATTTGACTTAGAAAAATCGCTTATGATATTTTGAATTTGAATATCCTTTAAACTTGAAATAGCACTTGCACTGTAAGACACCTGACTAATTTTATCTATTCCTATACCTTCAAACAATATATAAACTCTTTTAGCTCTGAAAGTTATTTTACGCAAGTTTACATCAGTAACATCAGGTAAAAGTGTTTTGATTTCATTATATACCAATGTTCTTGCAGATTTGTCGTCAATTTTATCCATAGTCCTAATATTTCTAACTCTATCCTCGTACGCTTTATAATAACAGTACCAGCATAAAATCTCCTTTTGTCTAGTCTTCATAGCAATGTTAAATAAATCAGCTATATTTTCTGCTGTAACTTCACTAGATCCTGTTAGAATTGCTTCTATAGAGAATTCAGGAATCTGTATATCAATTACATCATTAGTTCCGTTACTATCGTTTTTGACGCAAATGGATAATTCAAACCTCAACCCTTGCTCGACTTTTTGGTTATAGGGAATTTTCTTTGCTTCCGATATGGTTATTTTCTCTGATTCATCGAAAGTTTCAGGTTCCGATTGAATTATTTTTTTGCTATGGGAAATTTCAGTTGTAGAATTTATTTCAGAAGAAATGGTACGTTGAAGCTTCTTTTCTCTATTTCTCTCCCTCATCATATTACTAACTCTTTCCTTTTCTTTACAAATTAGGAAATCATCCATTTCCTTATCTTCTGATGATTTAAACTTTACGCCTATGGATAATACAGTCGAAGATGAATTGGAGACTCGAGACTTAGTCTCTTCAGTAGTATTGTTAGAATTTATTTCAGGAGAAATAGATAATTCCTTAGGAATCGATTCAGTGATCTGCGCATTCTTTTTATTGTGATGGTTTTCAATAGGTGATAATGTGGATGATCGATTGGTAATCGCTGATAATTCTGAATGAATAGGAGATTTTGGCACGGATATATCAGTATGAAGTTCTGAAATATTAGGTGTAATTTGTTTCTGTTTAATCTCCTTGATATCACGTTCTAGTTTCGTTACTCTACCCTTAAGTTTAGAATTTTCTATCTGACTTCGCTCCTCATTCTCAGCACTTTCTTTTGCGTTCCGTTCTAATTCTACAATTCTAGCTCTAAACCCTTCTTCCTTAGCTGAGAATTCAGCATTCTCCCTTTTAAGTTCAGTATTCTCAGCTATAAGCTTGGAAATCTGTTCTTCTAATGAATCGATTTTAGACTGTGTATTTGCCATTATTTTTATATAAAATGTAACTATTCAAAATAAAATAAAATGCGTACGTTCCAATTTGGAACGCAGATCACTTTTGTCAAGAAAAATTTAATCAACCGTAATGTAGCCCGTGATGGGCCATGATCGTACTTTGATTCATATAATTATAGGGAAATTACTATTTTATCATGAGCCGTAATAATTACATGAATGAAATCAAGATTAAAGATATACACAAGTTTTATTAGCGGAGCTTCAGATAAATGCCAAACTATGACTATATTAAAAATACTATATTTTTTCGCAAGAATGAGCGTGAAGTTTATATTACGGGTGCAACGAGATGTGTGTATTAAAATTTTTATTGAACACTAAAAACCATCATTTTTTCACTAATTCCTTAAATAAAAATCGTTGGATTAAATCCAACAAGTGTAAAATGTCAAGAAAAATTCTCGATAACGTATACCCAATGATATTAATGTATCCAGATTAATCTCAAAAATACACTTGTATAAATGATAAGATAAATTCACGAAATACACATGCAAAAATAAACTTGTTTATGTATGCAAAATCGACCCTATGGGTCAGCTTTATTATGCACAAATAATCTATAGAAGGATTGGCTCGTCTATAATTTCACAGAACTTGCCAGTGGCATCCCGAAATCTGGCGCTCATTCGTATGTCCTCAAAACCCTCATCATGCCAGAAGTGAATGACATTTAATCCCCTATCCTGAAGCTTTTCGCTCGGCCAGTATGGGTCAGATACAACGGAATCCTCCCTAGAAAAATGCACGATCCAAACTTCCTCAGGACAAAGCTGGTCGGCATACTTTATTACTCGATCGAAATGTTTCTTGAGTGTGGAAATGGATCCTGTTGCTACGACTTCAAGGACAGCTTCAGGGTAGGGATTGTCCGGTTTCTTTATCGTCAGGTCACAAAAAAGGTGGTGCCAGTCTCCATCACTGCCAATCCCTTCGAGATGCCACTGGCCAGTTATTTCGAAGCCATGCACCTTTGCAAGCCAATTGTGCAGGATTCTATACATCTCTGCATCGTAAACACTCTCTCTTGGGACGCATTCATCGCACTTGGACTCTACTTGCAAATGGTTCGAACATTTATAGGAGCGGGTAGAGCCTAAGGCTATCGTCTTTTGGTCAAATACACGGACAGCGGATTTAATTATTTCCAGAGTGTTTACTCCCCCGTTGGCCTGCAAAGGCACGTTCATATCAGGGCAGAACCAACTTGTTTCCGGAACTACACACTGCTTCTTTGTAGGAGCGTCTATTGTGGCCAGATCCCTCTGCCTCTTCCCTAAATAGATGAGGATGGTGCCGGCGATGATGCTGGTGATGATGATCTTACCGGTGGTGGCGACGTCTTCCTTGCTTTGCTAGCTTTCCTCCATAAGCTATTTACTTTCTCTGTATCGGCCTGTAGAAAGCAAACCAAATGAGAAATGGAATAATATTTCCTAGCAAGCGTAATCAAATAAAAATAGGGTTTGATGGCGAATGCAGGGATATATCAATAATAATTTTATTAATGTAAAGGTGCATATCCAAATTCTCCTTCGGAACCAGCAGATCTTTACTAAAAAATATCATGATATATTCCATGATGTTTACTAGGGCGTGGTAATAAACGCATCCATTTCAATACTTGCAGGACTCCTACTAGGGCGTGGTAATAGGTACAAGCATCTGGCTATATGCCCCATCAAAACAAATTAAATATGCTCACCTTACTATTCTCTATAAGATTTTGAGCAATGTCGCGAACTTCTTGGGGCATGCAAAGATCATCATTAATTTTATGTAAGGTAATATAAAAAGTACGATGTGCCTCTTTCTTCTCAGCGAACTTATAGTTATCAGTAATCAAGGCTACATAATGATCGAGTGCCCACTTCTCACATGGGAAAAAATCGAAATATTTAGCATATGGAATGCTTTCAGAGGTTTCTCGAGTATAGTTAGTAATAGACGTGGACATGGTAAAAAACGTATTAGAAGTCAGGTACACAGAAAATTACAACGGAAAATACGCATGACAAACTTACCCTACAGATCTTTTTTATACCTACAACTATGGAATTAAGGAAGACGCGTTAAAGTAACTTAGCAAAAAACGCGTTTGAGTTCTATAGTGCACACAGCGCTTTGGCATGAGTGTGATCAGCTCGGGAGCTAACCCAGAATAGGCTGATCACAATATTTTACCCCGTCCCGCATGCAGGTGGTACATTTCACTAAGCGATCACTGCATGTAGACTTCTCACGTGAAGTGCCTCGAAAATATCTATGAATCTCTTCTGAAGATAAATAAGTCGCATCAGGTCTTAATCTTGTAGGCATTTTAATGAAAATACAAAATAACAAATATAATTATTATATCAAACCATTAACTCTGATTTATTTTTAATTATTCGAGAATTTTCACATTCACATTGCCTATATATTCCATCCGCTACTTTTTTACATGTGTTGCAATATAGATGCGAATGATGGTTGCATTCGTCACAAACCTTACACCCGCGTG